AAACAAGGACAAACTGCCCAGAGTGACAGTTCCAGTGACACCCCAGCATCAGGCTGGGGTTCATGAGGACTTGGAGCACAAATTGCTTCTCTGGATGGAGCCACAAAGCACTGGGACAGCAGTGACAGAGGTGGATGCACAGTCCCTGGGTGTGGGGCAGAAAAACATCAAGTTTCACCCAAAAAAACACCCTTAAATGCTGGAGTTGTTGTGTGAAGTTTGCAGAGCTGGGAGACAGAGGCAGGGAAGGGATTTTGACAGGCAGAGACGATCCTGAAAGGCTCAGGAGGCCTCACAAGGAGTTTGTCAGCAGATCCTCTGTCAGGGCTCCTGATCCTGCTCCTGGTGAGGGCAATTCCATGGACAAACTACAATTCTGGCCGGGGTGTGAATTTTAAATCAGCTTCTTTATCACACCAAATGAATCAAGCCAGAAAATGCCAATTTAGGGCCCCCACGCTCTGCTCAGTGAGGCCGAGTAAATAACCCAGCAAATAACTCAGGCAAATTTCCTGACACCTCCTTCAGCATCAGTGAACAGGCAAAAAACAAACCCAGAACTGCTCCCACACACGTTGTGTGCTGCAGGAAAGCAGGGCCAGGGGAGATGCTGCCCTGGAGGGCAAGAGGAAGCTGATGATTTTTGTTTTTTGGGGTGGCTGGATGCAACACAACCTGTGCAAGAGCTCCCAGGATATTTTGGGAGGCCTTGCACTGGTTCTTCCAAGGGCTCCAGGCTGCCTGGAGGCAATTCCTTCCCTCTGAGAGCTCTTAAAGCTGTTGAGAACACTCCCATCCCTGCCTGCTCCTTCCCTCCCTGATCAGACCCAGCTTTTGAGGTCCACGGAGATAATAATTCACCCAGACAGAGCAGGGAGCTGACTGAAAAAAGGCATTCTCAGTAAAACATCACCATTTCAAATAAAGCTCTTTTACACCTGGATTTCCCCACCAAGGTCTCCAGAAAAACAGGAACAAGGAGAGTTTCTCCAAGGCTGCATCAGAAGGGAACAAACAACGTAAGGCTGAAAGAACAAGTCTGCACTGATGGCTTTTCCTCTCTGTGCATCAAGGAGAGAAACAGAACGTTCAGGAGCCTCCAGGCTGCTCCTCTGCAGCCAAAGGCACGGGGAAGGTGACCCTGTAGCCCACATTCTGCTCAATTCCTTGCACAGATGATGCTTCTCCAGCTCACTGCAATGCAACACTCGCTGTGGTCCCGTCCAGACCAGCAGAAACTCACTCAGAGACGAAGCAATCTGCTGCCTCTCCACTCCACTGAGGGCTGCCAGGGCCAAGATCCACCCCAAACCCCAAAAAAGCAGCAGCAGGGAAGCTCAGGGCTGGATCCCAAGCCAAGTGCCCCTGACTCAGCACCACTGCCTGGAAGCCAGGAGCCGCAGGGAATAATCCCTCTTTCCTGGTGAAGAACCCACCCTGACACTGCCCAGCTCACCTCCCATTACTGAGCACATCCCTGTGCATTTCAGCAGCCCCTTATCAGATGGTTTCCAGGATTGTTTTAAACCTTTGCTTGCATTTTCTTTGAATATTTAAATGTTCTTGCTGGCCTGTTTTTCCTTCCCTATGCAGAGCATTGATTTATGTTGCTAGATACCATATCTCCCTGCCTTGCCAAAAGCATGCATTTGGGAATGATTTCAGGGCTGCTGGTCATATTTTTCTCCTTCTTTTTATTCTGCACTTTATTTTTATTAACTTTTTTGTTGGAGGCACCATAAAAATGAAACGGTGGCTTGAAGGAACAACACTCATCAAACCCCCCAAACCAAAGCAAGCTGGAAGGCAGCTGCCATTCCCACCTGGAAGCTGCAGCACAGATTTGAGTTTCCAGTCCTTAAAAGCTGAAAATCACAGTCTCAGGTCTCAAACACCTTCACCTTTCACTCTGGGGAGGTGGGAAGCAAACTGAGCTCAGGTTTGCAGCTCTGTGCTGTCAGAGGAGATCCCCTTTTTTTTCACGCTCCCAAAAACCCCACAGTGCTCCCCAAAAAGATGGGACATGAAGAAAAATGAAGGATTTTCATTCAATCTTTCAGGATCTCAAACACCTTCGCCTTTCACTCTGGGGAGGTGGGAAACAAACTGACCCCACGTTTGCAGCTCTGTGCTGTAAGAGGAGCTCCCCTTTTTTTCCACGAAACTGAGCTCAGGTTTGCAGCTCTGTGCTGTCAGAGGAGATCCCCTTTTTTTTCACGCTCCCAAAAACCCCACAGTGCTCCCCAAAAAGATGGGACATGAAGAAAAATGAAGGATTTTCATTCAATCTTTCAGGATCTGAAACATCTTCACCTTTCACTCTGGGGAGGTGTTAAACAAACTGACCTCAGGTTTGCAGCTCTGTGCTGTCACAGGAGCTCCCCTTTTCTTCCTCACTCCCAAAAACCCCACAAGTGCTCCCCAAAAAGATGGGACACGAAGCAAAATGAAGGATTTTCACCTTCAGCATCCTGCTAATTGACTCTCCATCCCCATCCCTGCCTGCTGGCTGGAGTGGAGGATGTGCCCATCAAGGTGAAATGCAGGCAGCAGGGCTGGGAGCGTGCAGGGAGTGCTCCACATGAATCAGGGATTCCAGGGACATAAAACACCCAGCCACCCTTCCCAGGCTCCTGCCAGCTCACACCCTCCCTCCCCATATTTCCTGAGCTGCCTCATGCTCCACCAGCAGAGGGGAGAGGTAATTTTACTTCAAGTGTGTCACCTGTGAACGCTGCACACGGGGACAGGAATGGATTGGTGCTTATCTGCAACAAATGGTTAATGAAGGCAGCTGGTGGCTGCAGGGGGAGCAGCCAGGGAAGCAGTTTCCTTTCCAAACAACACAGTCAAGTGTCAGTTCTGGGAGGTGAGCTCCATTACGAGGTTTCTGGATGGATTTCTGTTCCCTAATCCACATGGGCAGCCAGGGGAAGTGATGGTGCCTCTCCCTGAGTGCTTCTCCAAAGGGGCCTGGACTCCTGGGGCTTCCTGCAAATGGGAATTTTGGGGTTTGCACAGCTCTTGTGGCACCCCTGAGCTGGGGGCAGGCTGGGCTCTGGCACCCCTTGCTCAGTGATGGAGGGCAAATAAATTTGTGACAGAAATATTCAGTTTTATGTGGAGTTTAGGAGAGGGGAGGACATGGCAGGGGGTGATTTTAGCTCCTCAGTGGCTCTTTGAGGGGTGGCTTTGAATTCACACAGGAAGGGCAACATCAACACCATGAAAACCAACACAAATACAGAAATTCACCATAAACTGCATTTCGTTTACAAGAGGAAGAGACAACATCCCCAAAAGGCAGGGAGGAGCTTCAGCAAGTGTGTCAGCTCACCATAAACTGCATTTCATTTCCAAACTAGAGACAGAACATTCCCAAAGTGCAGGGAGGAGCTCAGCATGTCCGCTCACCATAAACTCCATTTCATTGATAAAAGGAAGGAGAGAACATTCCCAAAATGCAGGGAGGAGCTCAGCAACTGTGTCAACTCATCACAAATTAATTTCATTTACAAGAGGAAGAGACAACATGCCCAAAACGCATGGAGGGACTTCAGCAACATTGTCAACTCACCATAAACTAATTTAATTTACAAAAGGAAAGCGAGAACATTTCCAAAATGCAGGGAGAAGCTTCAGCAAGTCTGTCAGCTCACAATAAACTGATTTCATTGACAAGAGGAAGGAGAGAACATTCCCAAAATGCAGTGAGGAGCTCAATGTGTAAACTCACCATAAACTGCATTTCATTTACAAAAGGAGGGAGACAAGATTCCCAAAAGGCAGGGAGGAGCTCAGCAAGTGTGTCAGCTCAGCACAAACTGCATTTCATTTCCAAACTGAAGAACATTCCCAAAGTGCAGGGAGGACCTCAGCGTCTCCACTCACCATAAACTCCATTTCATTTACAAAAGGAAGGAGAGAACATTCCCAAAACACAAGGAGGAGCTCAGCAAGTGTGTCAGCTCACCACAAACTGCATTTCACTTACAAACTAGAGACAGAACGTTCCCAAAGTGCAGGGAGGAGCTTGGTGTCTCCACTGACCGTGCAGGAGAACCTTTCACTCAGTGTCAGCCCCACCTGCACAGGGACACCCTACCAGGCAGGGAGGATTCCAAGAATCCCTCCAGAGCATCACTGGAAAAGCATTTTAATTTTATATTGAGTCATTCCCCCACTATTTTTTTAAGCTGTAGAATCTCAGAGGTCTCCACAGCTTTTTCTCTCTGATCTCCTCATCAGAGGAAGTACAATTGTAAGGGCTGGTGGAGAGACAGTGAATATGGATTAAAAAATACCAGAGTCGTCTTCTAATGGTCAAGTTCTGCTAATACACCAAGTTTTTCTTCTTCTAATGGTCAAGTTCTCTAATACACCAAGTTTTTCTTCTTCTAATGGTCAAGTTCTGCTAATACACTAAATTTTTCTTCTTCTACTGGTCAAGTTCTCTAATACACCAAGTTTTTCTTCTCCTACTGGTAAAGTTCTGCTAATACACCAAGTTTTAGAGGTACAAGCCAGTGTTGTCTCTGTGAACTTGGTGATACTGCCACAACTTCCAGCATCTGACTGGTAAAATCTACCAAAGCCTTTGCAGATGTTTTAATATTAATTAATATCTCACAATAAATTGTACATCTAGTTTTGCTCTTGTTTGTGTGAATGTAGATGTACGTATAAGCATAAAAATATTTCTATATTAAATATTATATATTATCTATTTATATATGATATATATAAATATATTTTATGTATAATATATTTATATATTTTATATATATAATATATATATTTATATATTATATATTCTACTATATATTTATATTACAAATATATATGTATATAGTAAGGTGTTGCCAACCTTACTACACTCAAATATTCTTCCTGGGCTTTATTAATTTCTAATTAGGTTTTTAAGATTCAACTCCACAGCAGGAGTTCCTAATAAGGAAATAAGAAGAATAAACCCAGCCCCAAGCCAGGTGAGCACTCACCAATCCTCAGGGAATGGGGGCTGGCCCAGATCCTCATCAGCCACAGCAGAAGGAGCACCAGAGGCGCCAAGACACGGAGCATCTTCCATAAATCCTCATGGAGCCCTGCGGTGGTCTGGGCATGACATAACTCTGCAGGGAGACACCAGACACGGCCGTGAGCCCCTCTGCTCCCCCCCAGCAGCGCCACTCAGCTCTGGAGACAAAAGCTCTGTTTACCCGAGGAGGAGGAAGCTATTTACAGACCATGAATTATTCAAGATTTGGAATCCAACTGGGCAGAGAGCTCCGCGCAAGAAAAAAAATTTTAAAATTAAAAAAAAAAGGAAAGGAACACGAGGAAAAGTCCAAATATTTCATCTTGGCATTTTTAGCGTTTCAACAAAAACAAGTGGAAATCAATATTGAGTCACATCTCTGACTTCTATTCTCACCCACCCCCCCTTTCTCTCTCCACTCAGAGCAGCCTGCAACTCATTATATAATACTGGCTTCTGATTTTAGGATGGGACACCACATTTTCATCGCAAAACGTGATTTGAGGGAAGGGTTCAGGAGGCACAAGTCACTTGGGCCTCACCAAACTAGAAACCAATTCCTTGCCACAATTCCAGTCACATCCTTCCCTCCCTTTCAGCAACAAGAGGATTCAGCACTAGACCAAGAGCATCTTTTTTTTTTTTTTTGTCCTCTTTTTTTGTCTCACCACCCAACCACACAGAGTTCCGAGTTCCAGAGTCAGAACACCACCAAAATGAAGGGCAGGAGGTGAAAAATCCACAAACTCATCATCAGCACAGATATTGGCACTGCCTGTCCCACAGCAGGCTCCTGCAGCACAGCTAATCAAATTTGTAACAAATACCATTTAAAACAGCTTCATAAAGGGCAGATTTTACTTCATAGAAAAAAAAAAAAAAAACAAAAAAAACTGTTGTCTCTGGAGTTGATAAAATTATCTCCACAGGCAGCAATGTCCTTAAATGCTGACTTTGAGTGTTTCATCTGTTACCTTATCTCTCCCTTCTCTCTTCTGCTGGCAAACATTCTCACCCTCTTCCATTTGTCTCCTTCTTGGGCCAAATACCAAGTCCTGACACAGGCAAAGTCTTTAATCTGCCTTTGAAGCTACCAGGAGTTTTGTCTGAGCAAGACGCAGCCTTTTGCTTGCAATTTTCCAATTAATCTATTTTTAGATTACATTTAAGACTTCCTCCAGCTTATCTCAGCGCTCTCCACAGGGACCATCCCCTTTCACAGAGGGGAAATGCAGAGACAGGGCCACAGAAATAAAAATCCAGGGAGTCCTGGGACATCTCCACTCCCTGGGGTTTGATCCCCTCCTGGATTACGCTTCCCCACCTCCTGCATCCCAATTCCAGAAAATTGAGGGATCTCATGCTCAGCTGTCAGCCAGACATGGGAAGAACATCCCAATTTTAATGCTCTCAACCCATTTTTAAAAGCTAGAAACTCCCCAAAAACCACCCGGAAAATTGTGAACCACCTCTGTGAAGGGCAAATAGCAATTTTCTCCTATTTTTTTTTTTCCCCTCCCTTTCAGTGGGAGTTGCAGAGTAATTCCTGGGGAAGAGAAGCCCTAAAAGGTTAAACACACGGGAAATTGGTTACTCAGAAGCGCTGGCAGCGGCAGAGACAGATTGCAGAGCAACGTATCATTGGAGCACTTTGTGGCAGCTATTTCCAAACTTCCCAAGATGTTGACAAAACAGCAGCATCGTGTCAGATGCACTCCCAGCCTGGAATGTGGAGCTGGAGCTCATGGAACACACACAGACATCCCTTCCCCATGGAGACAGCGGGACAGCTGGAGGTTTGCCACCCAAAGAGCTCCCTCGTGCTCAGTTCTGGCTCTAAAGCTGCTCCCCAACGGCCACAATCCTGTTTTCCTCCTTTTTTTAGGTCATTTTAGGTCCTGCTTCTCGTACTGCTACCCCCAGGGTGCTTTCCATGCGTAGTGGTTTCGGTTCGCCAGTTTGAGATTTTTGAGGAAACCAAATTTGAGATTTTGGGAAAAGCAAAACACCTTGGTGATGAACAGCCACGGCTCAACTAGAACATCTGGTAGGGAATGTCAGACCAGGAGCAGGGCAGGGAAAAGGGGTAAAACCCCTCAAATTCCAGCCAAACAGGAGGGAAATGCCTGCTTTCCTTCCTCATCATTCCCTGCCAAAGCTCTATGGAATCACTTCAAGGAAGGACATGGAGGGGCTGGAGAGCGACCAGGGAAAGAAAAGGATCTGGGGAAGGGCCTGGAACACCAGGAACAGTTGAGGGAGCTGGGAAGGGACTCAGATGGAGAAAAGAAGGCTCAGGGGGGACCTTGTAGCTCTGCACAATTCCTGACAGGAGGGGACAGCCAGGGGGGATTTGGGATGTTATCCCAGGGACAGGGACAGGAAGAGAGGGAACGGCCTCAGGCTGGGCCAGGGGAGCTCAGGTTGGAATCAGCAGGAATTTCCCCGTGGAAAGGGTGGCCAGGCACTGGAAAGAGCTGCCCAGGGAGGTTTGGAGTGCGCATCCCTGGAGGTGTCCTAGGAACCACTGGAGGTGGCACTCAGTGCTCTGGGCTGGGAACAAGGTGGGGATGGGGTCAGCTTGGACTCCGTGGTCTGGGAGGGCTTTTCCAACCTCAATAATCCTGTGAACCACCAGGCTGAAAGGAGGGGTTCTCATTTCAGACTCTGAAATGACAAAATGCACCAGGAGCAACCACTCTTGTGGGAAAAGGGAAAAGCTCCTGTGACTCCCTGCTCCGAGGGACAGACCCATGGTTATTCCTTCTGTTTGCAGCCTGCTGGAGAAGCTGAGGAGGAGATTCCCAGGCAAGCAGCAGCTGGCTGTGCATCAGCAGCTCGGAGTTATCAGCCAAGCTGAGCAGTAAATCCAGGGCGCCCGCTGAGCTCTGCTCCGGCAGCGGCGGGGCTGTAATTACCTGGGACATGGAGCACAGGGGGATGCTGCTCCACCTCACCCCTCAGGAGGGCTTGGGCTTGGAGCACGGGCACAGGGAACAGCTGTCAGCAAGAGAAATGCACCTCGGGGGCTGCCAAACAGCAGAAAACACAGACCCCACAAGCCCTGCTTGAGGAGCAGCTGGCTGCTGGAGGTGATGGCAGAATAGCTGGGGAGGGGAACACAGGGATGCCTCCCCACATGCACAATGCTGGGAGCCCAGATTTAGGATCAGGAGGGAAAGGGAGAGAGGATTTTCCTCCTAGCCCAGCATCAAAGTTAGTCTCAAATGAACAAAGAGGTGTTTCAGTCCTCACAGCCCTCTGCACCTCCCAGTCCCCACTTGCTGCCTCCTCCCTAAATTCAGGCATGAAAGGGTGGTGAGCACAGCTCAACCACCCTCCCTGTACATTAATTTTGCTTTGCTCAGCTTGTCATCCTGCCAAGCTGCCTTCCAGCTGCAAGGTGCATCCGTCTGTCCCTCATTTCCCCAGGAGGTGCTGTGAAACAGGAGTTCCACCCAGGTGCACGGGTGAATTGTGGCTACAGCTGGGGCATCCACTCCTGTGCAGCCCCAAATTCCACTCAGAGAGGAGAGGAGGACGACCTTCCTCCATTAAAACCTCACAAAGCCAAGAAAACCCCGAGGAGACAAAGCTCTTTAGCAGCTTGCCTCACTAATTCTTGTGCATGTGAAGATGACTTATCCCAACTCATCCTCAGCTGGCTGAAAATAAATCAAACCAACTTCCCCTGCTGAAGTTTCCAGCGAGAACATGTCAGGAGCTGTGCATTCACAGCTTGAGTGGCTCCTCTCTCCTGCTCTGACAGCAGGCTGGGTTGATGGACAGCTGTCTGTGGAGCATTCCCAATCTGCTCCCCCCCCAAAAAAAGAGTGGGATGGCTGGGAAAGAGTTCCCTGGGTCCTTCAGGGTGGGAGGTGCCTTGCTGAGAAGCTACTGCTGCATCACGAGCTGACCCCTGCGTGCAGCACAAATACAGAATTCTTTTCCTGCTAAGCCCCTTTTTTATTTCTTTTTTTTTCATCTTTCAGCTCTGGAAAGTCAAGAGAATAAAATAAATCAGGGCTATACTGGGGAGTTTTGTGTTCTCTCTGGAGATAAAAGTCTCTAAATACCAAGCAGAATTATGGACGATTTGCCTCCGAGAGGGAGCAAGTTGCTTCTGAAACTACTGATACATTTTTAATGACTGTGAGCTGGTGCTCTTCTTCACTGCTATCACCACAGCCTCCTGCTATTTGGAGATTTCTGCAGAAAAAAAAAAAATTCTTAGACAGTAGAGCAAAAAGCCAAAAGGCAGAACAAAATGTTAAATCACTAGAAGAAAACACCCCAAAACCCCTCTGCTGGAGCTGCCACAGAGATAAAGAAGACATCCCTGAAAAGCAGCCACCTCTCTGCTCGTTCCCTCTGCACAGCCTGACAAGGACACTCGAGGAACCTGCTGTTATTTCATGGAATTACAGAGTGGTTTGGGTTGGAAGGGATCTTAAAGAGCATCTGCCATGGGCTGGGACACCTCCCACCATCCCAGGTTTCTCCAAGCCCTGTCCAACCTGGCTTTGGGCACTTCCAGGGATGGGGCATCAACTCCTCTGGGCAGTGATTTCTGCTCCCACCTCCAAAAACATCACCACCCTGCAGAACCTGTGTGGCACTCAAATTCTCTGAACAGAGACAGACATAATTCCCTCTCCCAGGATTTCTCCTGGGGAAGGCAGTGAGGAAGCTCAGAGAAAGAAGAGAAAGCTCAGAGAAAGAAGAGAAAGCAATTCTTATCTCTATTTGCTGCTCCTGTTGCTTGGCACACGTGGAATGTGTTATGGAGATTGTTTACCAAGAGTGATCTATTAATTGGACACCAGTAATAGTTGTTTTGATTGACTGATTGATTGATTGATTGATTGACCAATTAGGTCAAAGCTGTATTGTGACTGTTTAGGAAGGTTCACAAGTTTTTCTTTAGTATCTTTTTAATATAGTATTAATACACTATATTATAGTTTAACAAAGCAATTGTTCAACCTTCTAAAATCACGTTATTCCCACTATTTCCACCTAAAAAACGTCTTTTACAATAAACCTGTTCCTTCCACATCTGTCCCCAGCAGGAGCCACAGAGGGCTCAGCA